AAATAGTGTGTATGCGTGCGTGCAAGGCCGTGTGTGCTGGGAGCTGTCTGGAATGAGGACTTCCATTTCTCCTCCCCACTCTAGGTTCTGTTTGATTTCATCCTCTCCTAACCCTTGGGCAAACTTAAGATGACTCAGGTTGACACCTAACACGGTTGAAAGCCAATTGGAAGCTATTCAAAGGCTGTTTCTTTCCTCCTGGAGAATTTGCACAGCCCTGGAAGTCACACTGGCCTCCAAGGCCCCTCTGTGTGCCAGGGCCTTCTCAGCCGTGTTTTCCGCATTCACCCAGAGCTAGGGAGCTGGGGCAAGGCAGAGAGAAGGGAGAGTGTGACACTGTGGCTGGCCTGTCACATGCATCCCTCATGGTATTTCATTAATTCATCAGAGGAAGCCCTTTGGGTAGTCCCAGATCAGATTATCATTCCCTTTGAAGAAAACATCCAGAGAAGTATAGCACCTGGCCTACCTCCAGTGAGTGAGCTTGGGTCACTAGCTCTAATCGCGCATTCTTTTTTTCTCCACCACACTGGGAGCTGATCTTTATCTCCCCTACAGTTTGTTCTTCTTTTGTCTCTGTCTCTGAGCTTTGGTGGGACATGCCTGACATGTGGGGACACCACAGCTCATTGGAATTCAGTGATGACTCTGCCTGTGCCCAGGACAAAGTCCTCTTCAACGGGATCAGATGCCTGCTGTCTTCTCTAGCTTGGTTTTTCACATCCAGGATTACAGAGAAAAAGATGCTTCAGCTTCTGAAAGGGGAGAAAACATTCTGTGGGATTGCTGCAATTCCTTCAATCTCTGCAACATATAACAAAACGGGGCCTGATTGCAAGTTTCATTTATTTGAGCTTTGCTCAAGGTCTGGCTGGGTTTTTACTGGGTTCGCCAACTGGTCAGGACTTCGGCAAGATGATGTAGGAAACTCCAGGCTCCCGGAGAGCTTTCTGTGGTGTATTTTTCAATCAAGACTGTTCTGGTGATGGATATCCGCATGGCCCTAATTATTTCCTGAAATCCCTGAGAAGGAGGCATGTTTTCTGTGTCTCTCTGTGTCTCTCTCTGCTGCCCAGCCTGTTGGCAGCTGGGACAGCCCTGTTGCTGACATCCCCAGGTTGACGAGCTGTCATTTTGGGAAAGATAGAAAAAAGAGAAGGTGGGGCTGAGGGATAATACTGGGGGATGCAATGGAGAATGTTTCCGAAGGAAAACACTTGCCATTCAATGTATAATTTTTTCACCAATTTCCAAAATGATCCAGAAATAATTATAGCAGAGAAGCAGTTCTTTAACATTTCTATAATTTTTATATCATCAAACCTTAGCCTTTCTGATTTGCCTGACCTGGACTATAACTTTGATCACAAATTGATTAAACAATAAGCCAAAATTCTTTCTCAGAAATTTAGGGGCTGGGGCTGGGGCTCAGAGGCAAACCGCTCGCCTGGCATGTGTGAGGCACTGGGTTCCATCCTCAGCACCACATAAAATAAAATAAAGTTAAAAAAAAGCCCTTATTAAAAAAAACTTTATAGATTTCTTTCTTGTTTATATAGATAATGTTAATATTAAAAGGCAATTTTAACCAATATTATTTGCCCTCTAATTTCCCTTTCCTTACAAAAATGTAAGAAACGCCTGGAGTGTAGCTCAGTGGTGGAGGATGTATTCAGCAGGTACAAAGCCCCAGGGTCAATCTTCAACACCAAAAAACAAAACAAAACAAAACAAAAAAACACAAAAAACCACGGAACACATACTAGAATGATCTATGATCTATGTGTACTACATTCAGGTAAAATGCCTTTCCTCTTCAGCCAGTCCAAGGGAAATTTGGAGAATCTAATTTTTGTGGGGTTTTGTTAATGCAGTGGTACTTGTATTCCAACATCAGGGGATCTGCAGAGCACGAGGCATGTGGTGCCACCAGAACTGTGGGAGACCAACCTTACATGTGACTGGGTCACACTCCCTGGCTGGGTGCTGAGGCGCTCAGTCACAGAAATGTGGTTGGTGTCTCGTGCATGGGTGTGTCTTGCTACAGCCCCATGGGTGAAGCTACGCTCACCTGTTTCTTTGTAATATAACCCCTTGCCCTGTCTAGGATAGAATCTTCCATGGAAGTGCCTTGTGTGTGTCCCCTTCTCTTTCTGTGCCCTTGGGTGTGGCCTGCTGTTTTTTCACATCCAGGATTACAGAGAAAAAGATGCTGCAGCTTCTAAAAGAGGAGAAAACCTGCTGACAGTGGACATCAGGAAGATACTCAGCCCCCTGAAACCTGACCCCTTGCCTCATTTGAAATAGCTTCTCCTCAATAAAAGGGGTCAGTGTGTGCTCTCACTCTCTCTTTCTGCAGACCTTTAAGGTCAGAGGAGCCGTCACAGCCACCCCAAAGGAAAAGGTATTTGTGTCTCTTGTGTGGTTATTTCGTGCAGCCCAGTCAGTCCAGTTCAACTGGAGTGACCCCTGAGCCTTTTAATCACGAGAACAGAAACCCGGCACAGAGCTGCGCTGTTTCATTCCTTCCTAGAGGCAGAAACTGCCTGCACTGACCATCAAGCTCTCTCAAGTCAGATGCAAGGGGTTTCAAAGCACTTGAGGCTTTTGTTTATTTAACCAGCTCTTAGAGGGACTGGGGACTGATTGCAATGGGCTGGGAGAAGTCAGTAGGGAAGCAGAGGATTTGTCCAGAAAGTGGTACAGTTGTCGTCCAGTGGGGAGCCCAAGAAGGTCAGTCTGGAGCTGCTGATTTAAAGGAGTCCGCAGTACCCAGGGGCTTCTCACCACAGGAGTTGTGTACCCCCCAAGCAGCGCCCACAGCTCCTCCTCCTGCTGTTGGCCTCTCTGAGCACTTCTCTGTCTTTGAGAGCCCTCCCTGTCCCCAGGCCCAGCCTAGACCTCTCCTTCCAGGCCTCTCATTTGGGAGGTTATTTTAGTAGGTGGTGATGTGGGTTTGGGGTGGCTGGTTTGCAGCTTAGAGTCCCTGCCATGTCCTGAGGGGCAGAGCCATGAAATAGAGTACACAAAAGAGTTTCAGTGCTGCCCCTGATGCCTTGGATCTGCCTCCTTACATAATCTCTGTCTTCAGGGAATCCAGGGCAAGCTGAAGACACCCCGAGCAGGCTGGAGTGCAGCTATCTGGCCGTCCCTGGGCCCGTCACGGGTGTGGTTCCTTGAACTCTGCCCTGAGCTGGTTACCCTATTGCCTCAGTGCTTCCTTTATGAATTAGTTAAATATAATTTCATTTTTATTTTTATCTTTTCTTATGGTCCTGGGGATTGAACTCAGGGCCTCGTGCATGCGAGGCAAGAGCTCTAGCCCTGAGCTGTATCCCTAGCCCTAAATAAAATCTTTGATGTATTTTTCATTTTATATTGTATAAGAGGCATGATTTTTTTATTTCTGAAAATATCTTTAAATATTAGGTACGATATAGGCAAATAATTTTCTGAAATTTTTTTGTGTTTTACTTTACAAACAGATTTTTATATGCTGGGTGCTCTTTTAAGTACTTTATGTGTTAACTGATTCAACCTTAAGCTGTATCAAACGGAGGCTCAGAATCTTGCCTGGATTTGTGTCATTGTTAAATGTGAGAATGTGAGGCTGAGGCCCCCCAAATTTCTAGTTACTAGGAGCTTTCTGCTATGGGCTAAATGGGTCCCCCAATTTGTATGTTGAGAATCTACTCCCCATAGGATGGTATTAGCAGATAGGGGAATTAGGGAGGTAATTAGGTTTAGATGAGATTATGAAAGTAGTGTCACCATGAGGTTAGTGCCCTTTGAAAAAGTAACCAGGGTGACTCTGGAAGTGGAGGCAGGAAGATTATAAGTTCAAGACCAGCCTGGGAAATTTAGTAAGATCTTGTCTCAAAATAATAAAAAAAAAATACAAAGGGCTGGCTCAGTGGAACAGGGTCCCCAGCCCTAGCACTAGAAAGAAAAAAAAGAAAAGAATTAAAAAAAAAAAAGGTATCTCTCTGCAAATCAGGAATAGGACCCTTACCAGGAACAGAAGTGGCCAGCACTGTGACCTGGGAGTTCCCAGCCACCGGAACTGGAGGAGTAACAATTGCTTAAGCCTTGTCTATGGTGTCTTTGTTATAGCAGCTGGAGCTGACTCAGACACCCCTCCAACTGAGCAGGGGGATGGGTTGAGGAAGGATTCCCCAATTTTTTGGGGGGTGGGGGTAAGCTGCATCATTAAGAACAAAGAATTGTCTTGACAGAGCAGAGGCGGCTGTGATGAATGGACTCTGCAGAAACTCTTGGCTGGAGAGGTGTGTGTGGCACTGTCCTGACAGTGGAGAGGCCTGGCCCAGGGTGGTGGCCAGTCGCTGGGCTTCCCTAGAGTTCATCCACCTTAAAATGTTGGTTCAGCTGTTTCCATGAGGGCCCTTCCTCAGGACAGGTATCCAAGTTTGTTTTTTAAAAGCTATGCTCATGATGTCTGAGGAGCGCTGAGGGGACAGTAGGAGTAGCCTGATGCAGGGGACAAGGCACACTTGGAGTCTGCTAGACCTGGGTTCAAATCCTGGGTCTGCGGCTCCTCCCTGGGTGAGTAAGGTTAGAGTGGGTTTAAATAAGCATTGAAACCGCTGAGTGGGATTAGGGACAAGCTTCCGGCTTCTTCCCCAGGAGGTGAGGCCTCTGCCAGCCTGGCAGGGTGCCTGTGCGGGAAGGAAGGACCCGGAGAGTTGGAGAATGGCTGCTCTGCAGGGCTCATCCCGCAGGGGGAGCTGCCACACTGCAGCTGGCCACCAGAGAGCCTTAGGGCAAGTTCAGGAAGAACCTCAGGAAGTTCAGGAAGTATCCTGGTCAGCTATGGGTCTTGGAGCTCCAGGCTAGCCTGCCATCCTGGTTTCTCTTCCAGTGCAAAGGCTGCTTCCTCAACTCTGTTGACCTTGTAAGGAAGGAAGGTCAGCTTTGCAGGGCCCCAAGGTGCTGGTGATCTTCCCTCACTTCCTGCAGAGTTCAGGACATCCCTGGGAAAGATGGCAGGGAATACCATCCTGCTGGCTGTTGTCTCTTCTTTCTCTACCTGTCAGCAAAGTAAGAGTCACTGGCTGAGTGTGTGTGTGTGTGTGTGTGTGTGTGTGTGTGTGAGAGAGAGAGAGAGAGAGAGAGAGAGAGAGAGAGAGAGAGAAGGAGGGAGGTGGGCTCAGTTTGGGTTTCTACTTGCCCTTATCCGTGGCCCTGGGGGCTCAGCAGAGCAGTGGGCTCAGGGCCACCTGCTGCCTCCTCCTTCCCCAGGGTGGGCAGAGAATGGAACATTCCAGAGACTAGTTCTCCTAACGGGAATGTTATGGTCCCTCAGAGCCCAGGACTCTGCCTCATCTGTGGTTACAACCCACAGCCCAGCTCCAGGGAGCATTGGAAGGGAGCTCCCCTGCAGAGGGTGGGGCAGATGCATTAAGTACCAGGGTTCCAGAGGCCATATTGTTTCTGCTTCTAAACCTGGTTGTGATTTCTTGAAACCTGATCTTTTAATTAATGTGTTTTCTTCAACAAACTGCCTATGGCAGGCATGATTATCATGTTAAAAAAAATCTCCTGCAGAAATATGAGCTTTAGAGTAAGTAATTAATTCTAAATATTGAAAGCACCTTCCCACGAGGATTACTCAGGATCCTGGTTGCTTGGTTATATAGAGGGCCGCTTCTCCACGGGAGACGCATTTGCTCAATTCCTGGTATTTTACCTACAAGACTCGGGGGGCTGGGTCTGAGCACAGGGAGCAAGCCTTCTTACCAAGCATGCGTACTTCTTGATCATTTTTCACGTGTTCATGGGCCAGGAAGCAGGACTGAGTTGTGGGCTGCTCGGATCACACCCACAACCGGAAGGCCATCAGCGGCAACCCAGTTAAGGACGGAGTCTAGACTCAGTGTTGTCTCATCAGTCTATTTTGTGAGTGTGATTTCTTAAACCTTCAGATACAAACCTTACGGTTTGGTTCCCAGTCTTCCGTGGAGTAGGGAGGGATGTTGGTTACTGACTGAAGAAATAACCTGGCTCTACAGTAACCTGTCCCCGTTGCGGGAAACAGACTGGTCGAGAAGCAGCAAGCAGCGCTTGGAGAGGAGAAGGCCCAACTTTATTTTACACCAATGCGCCCGGAGATCAGACTCCAAATTTGGAGCACCCATCACCAGTTTTTCACAACATTGATAGGCTACCTAGTGCCATGAATTTTCTGGTCTAAATGATACATAGTTGTGTGTGGAATTTCAAGTGGGAAGCTTAGAGTGTGATAAGGGGAAGAACTGGCTCCTTTTTCAAGGTTTTTGATAAATCTCTAGCCTTGGGCCAGAGCTTCCACAGGGGACATCAAAGGAAAGTGGTTAGATCCTAGGGGGAGTCATTTAGAATCCAAAAGGTGGGAGTGGACGGCTAAGTTCCCTGAAGAAGGCTGACTAGAGAGGGGAGGGGACCGTTCCCCTTCCCAGGCACTAATTCTCAGGACAGTGTCCTTAGTTTACTTTGCAGCAAGGCTTTAGAGCAGGCGGTCCCAAGCCACACGTGCTGTCATCCTGCCACTGCAGAGAGCTCAGGGCAGGGCCACGAAGCCAGGGACTCCCTCATCCCCACAGGCTTCTGTTTTCTGCCTGGAGAATGGGAACCAGAGGATGAGAGGACTCCGTGGCCAGGGTGGGAAGGGAGGGGGGAGTTAGGGAGAATCATGGTTTGTGGTGGACCAGGAATGTTTGATGATTGTGGGGGAAGAGGGAGAGAGAGGACTGTTAGCTGGGACTGAGAATCAGAATTTGCCACTTTTGCAAAAGTCTGGTGTTTATGGAATCTGGACACCTTGTGACATGTATAGAAGCAATTCTATTTATTTTTCAATTTTTGGCAGTACTGGGGACTGAACCCAGGGCCTGCCCACGCGAGGCAAGGACTCTAACTATGGAGCTACATCCTCAGCTCTTTTTAAAAATGTTGAGACAGGATCTTGCAAAGTTGCCCAGGCTGGCCTTGAACTTGCACTCTTGCCTCAGCCTCCTGAGTAACTGGGATTACAGGCCTGTGCGACCGCACCGGGTATAGCTCAAGTTTTGAGGATGGACAGATAGACCTCTATCTGTCTGGTCCAGCCACTTACCAGCGAGGTGCCCCTGGCCAGGATACTCCACCTTTTGATGTCCCCTTTAGAAGGATAAACAGGACACTGGACAGGAAGTGCCCCCCCCCCCCCATTGGTGCCTGGCCCAGGGTAGTGCTCAGCACGGTGGTTACCATCTTAAGCTCTCTTGCTGCAGAGAGAAGCTGCTGGATAGAGAGGTAGCCCCTGGTGGGGGGTGGGTGGGTGGGTGTAGTGAGCATTGGTGGAGGTCAGGTATCTCCATCCACTCTCCTGTGTATACCTGTACACAGGTATCCCCTGGATAAAACCAGGGAAGAGGAAAGTCAGGCAAAGCAGATAGTGACGATTCTCAAGTGGTTTTAATCAACTCATGAGAAGGGAAATAAAATCAAAGTTTCCAGCACAAAGGTGAAAGCCACCGAAAACATACATTGGAGAAAAGATTCCCTCTTCAACGAATGGTGCTGGGAAAACTGGAAATCCATATGCAACAAAATGAAATTAAACCCCTGTCTCTCACCCTGCACAAAACTCAACTCATAGTGGATCAAGGACTTAGACATTAGAACAGAGACCCTGTGCCTAATAGAAGGAAAAGTAGGCCCCAGTCTCCACCATGTTGGCTTAGGAACTGACTTCCATAACACAAACCCTAAAGCACAAGAAGTAAAATCAAGAATCAATCAATGGGATGGACTCAAGCTTCTTCACAGCAAAGGAAACAATCAATAATGTGAAGAGAGAGTCTAGGGAATGGGAGAAAATCTTTACCACACGTACCCTAGATAGAGCACTCATCTCCAGGATATACACAGAACTCAAAAAACTTAACACCAAAGAAACAAATAACCCAAACTCCTAGGTCTATGGGCCAGGGAACTGAACAGACACTTCACAGAAGAAATATAATCTATCAACAAATGTATGAAAAAATGTTTGATACCTCTAGCAATTAAAGAAATGCAAATCAAAACTACTTTGAGATTTCATCTTATTCCATTCAGAATGGTGATTATCAAGAATACAAGCAACAATAGATGTTGGCAAAGATGTGGGGAAAGAGGTTCACTCATACATTGCTGGTGGGTCTGCAAATTGGTGCAACCACTCTGGAAAGCAGTATGGAGATTCCTCTGAAAACTTGAAATGGAACCACTATTTGATCCAGTTATCCCAATCCTTGGTTTATACCCAAGGGACTTAAAGTCAGCATACTACAGTGATGCAGCCACATCAATAGCAGCCCAACTGACAATTGCTGAACTATGGAACCCACCTAGGTGCCCTTCAACAGATGAATAGATAAGAAAATGTGGCATATATACACAATGGAATATTATTCAGCCTTAAAGAAGAGTGAAATTATGGCATTTGCCAGTAAATGGATGGAGCTGGAGAATATTATGCTAAGCAAAATAAGTCAATCCCAAAGAACCAAGGGCTGAATGTTTTCTCTGATATGTAGATGCTAATTCACAATAAGTTGGGAGGCACTATGGAAGAATAGAGGTATTTTCGATAAACAGAGGGGAGTGAAGGGAGGAGAGGGGATATAGAGGTAGGAATGTCAGTAGAATGAATGAATTACCCTATGTGTATGTATGAGTGGGGTAACTCTATATCCTGGACAACCAGAAGAATGAGAAGTTATACTCCATTTATGTAAGATGTGTCAAAATGCATTCTACTGACCTGTATAACTAATTAGAGCAAATAGAAAACTATTTAAGAATAAATAAATAAAGCTGCTGTGAATATTGGTGTATAGGTCTTTATACAGAAAGATGATTTCATTTCTCTTGGGCAAATACCTCTAAGTGGAATGACTGAGTCATCTGGTTGTACACTTAAATAAAAAATTTCCTTGCAAACTGTTTTTCAACATGGTTGTACCATTTCACATCCCCACCAGCAGCGTTTGAGAGTTCTAGTTGCTCCACACCCTTACCTGTCTTTTTAAAGTGGCGTTATAATTTAATTTTAGATGGTCTCCTAGGTCTAAGTGTTGTCTGACTGTGGTTTGATTTGCATTTCTCTGATATGCACATGCCATGGCTTTAACCAACATCCCCCTTTCTTGCAGACTATTTTGCTCTTCAGGTTGGAAAGATGGGATTAAAATGCAGGATCATTCCCTCAGCAGTCACTGGGTCACCAAAGTTCGAGAGAATGTTTCGTGCACAGTGAATAATGCATCCCCACCCCTCACGGGTCTGTGCTCACCACAGACACATGATTTCTGATTAAGGGAAAGAGTTATGAAGAAGGTCCTGAGTTCATGCTTGCAATAACCAGTTTGATTGTAAAAAACGACTCTTCAGAGCCAAGAGCCTTCTGTGAACCATGAAACTTGAAGTGTCCGGTGCAAGGAGTCTACCCAGCTTTATTTCAAATTCAGCAGGGTATGTTTACCAAAAAGGCTGAGACCATAGAAAGGACTGCTGCGACTCTCAAGCAGGGCCACTTGGACAAAGAGTCCCCTCCAGCCGCATGAGAGTGCAGTTGACCCCAGTTGAATCAACCATTCTGTAATTTTCTCTCTCTTCTCTCTCTATTTCTTTCTCTCTACTTCGAAACAGAGGCAGATCAGTACACCCTCGGCCCATTTCTCCATGAATTGTTTCCTAAAACCAGGAACGTGCAGGAGTGAGAAAGCTTTCTGGGTCACATGGGTTCACCATGCTTTTGATCATCTCCTGTTCTTGCTTCTGGAATGCTCTACCATAAGCACCATGGATCTGCCTCCTGCAAGACGCTAGGGTTCCCTTGATATATTTTTTCCCCTAACACTGATTGTTTGAAAAGCCTTGCCTGTATCACCATTTACATGATGCTGGGTTCCTTTGTTCATGTTTTGGGTTTTTTCTTTACCCCCACTCCTGAGGGGAAGGGGACTCCATGTTTCTTTCTTGTTGGGGGGGCAGGGGTACTGGGGATTGAACTCAAGGGCATTAGACCACTGAGCCACATCCCTAGCCCTATTTTGTATTTTATTTAGAGACAGGGTCTTACTGAATCCCTTAAGTTCCTTGCTAAGTTGCTGAGGCTGGCTTTGAACTCGCGGTCCTCCTGCCTCAGCCTCCCAAGCTGCTGGGAATACAGGCATGCGCCACTGTGCCTGGCTCTTTGTCTTTTTTTTTTTTTAATATCAAGATTACACTAATTTCAGATGAGGTAGAAGAATCATCCTGTTCTCTTTTCTTAATAATTTCATTAGATTGGAAGGGTGGGCTCCTTCAAATTTGTGTAAAACTTGGCTTAAACCTATCTGGACCTGATGTTTCTCTTATGCAAAAATCTTGACTTATATTTGCTTTTTAATGATTACTGGATTATGCAAGCTTTTTTACATCCTAAATTCAGTTTTGGCCAGTCATGATCCTTGAGCTGACAACATTGGTCTCTTATTTACTTGTTTCTAGGAGGATTTTACAGACTTCCCAAGGTTACAAGTGTGGGGTGAATGTCCCTGGTAGTACACGAGGTCATTTCAAGAGGTGTGTAAACTTGATTTTAAATAATGTTGAACCAAGTGAGAAGCCATTCCCATTTGTCTTTGAATCCTTGTGGTCTTCCAAGTTCTTTCTGATTGTCTGTTTTTGCCTTTGACTTTCATTTTTATTCATTAAATGAAGATACTCATTAAATGTTTATGGAGCACCCTCTATGCTGTGGCTCGGACCATATCAGTGAACGAGTCGGACAGAAGTCCTTGTGCACTTGGGGTTTACCTTATAGCTGTGGAAGTTGGAGAATAAACAAGAACAAATAGTATTATAAGGAAATATGATGTTCAAGGGAGATATATGCACCGGAAAAGGACAAGGTGTCCTGGGGTGGGTTGTAATTTGAAATGGGTGGTCGACGCAGGCCCCACTGAGAAGGTGGTACCTCAACCAGGGCTTGAAGTGAGGGAGCTGGCTATGTGAACAGGTAGATACGAAGAAGTTCTTGGGCAGCGGGAGATCCAGGGCAAAGACTTTCTGTGAGAACTTGTCAGCAGGGGGTCAGCTGGCCAGAGAGGAGGGAGCCCAGCAGGGAGTGGTGGGAGGTTAAGTTGGAATGGTAATGGGCCACCCACCACTAGGGCCCTAAAGACCCTTGTAAGGACTGGCTTTTTCTCTGAGTATAATGGAAAGTCACTGCAGGGTTTAAGCACAAGGGAAGCATGATCTAATCTCTTAAAAGGATGGCTCTGCTTGCTAAGAGTGGTCTGTACAGAAGCATCAGTAGAAGCAGAGAATTCACTGAAGAGGCTACTGCAATAGTCCAAGCAGGAGACGCTGTGGCTGTAGCCAGAGAGACAGCAGATGATGGGGAATGGTCAGATCTGGATCTATTTTGCCATAACAAAGGCAGAGTGTGAGAAAAGTATAAAAACCGACCCTTGGATTTTTGGCCTAAGCATCCCCCAAAATGGGGCTGTAATTAACTGAGATGGAGAAAGCTGTAGGAAGAAGGCTGTTTTCAGGAAAATTAGGAAGTAGTGTCCTGACATGCTGTGTCTGTGCTGCAGCCAAGAAGAGGCACCGTATCTACTGAACTATTTGGATTATTATTATACCCCAAACTGACTAAGTAACTGTGGTTTGCACCTCCAATTAGAGATAGAGAGGAGGTCACTGGGCATACAAATCTGCGTTTTAGGAGAGATCTGAGCGGGAAATATAAATTCATCTCCATCATGATGATCATTCCAAACCATGGATGAGATCATGAAGGTAGTGGGTGTAGGGCAAGAAGGAGGAGGACCAGGACCTGAACCCAGAGCTCTCCAGCATCGGGAATTGAGGATGATGCTAGGACCAGCACCCAGAGCTAAGGAGATCATGGAGGCTCTACTCAAATGTTAGGTGACCCTCCGTTGGTTATATGTGCAAATTAAAGAACCCAACGAGCAACAACCAAAGCACTGGAGGGTGAATTGGAAGCCCCATGTCATGACTCGGGCTTAGTGAGTAGTCAGCTTCCCAAAGGTGAGTGGCTGGGAGGCAGCTTGTTTTTTGTCTATTTTATTTTGAGACAGGCTCTTGCTAAATTGCTGAGGCTGGCCTCGTGCATTCCTCCTGCCTCGGCCTCCTGAGTGGCCAGAATTACAGGTGTGCTCACCATGCCCAACCTTTTTCCTGGGGAATCCTCAGATGACAGGCCCTATCTGTCATCTTTCTGGGACCATTTTATTTCTCTAGAGAAAACTCTCTACGACGTCTTCAGGAGTGAGCGTGGTGGGGAAAGGCTTGGTTCTGCTCACTATGTGGATTCTCACTGTTTTCTGGACAGAATTTTACCCCACCTTGCACAGTGCCTGGAGTGCCCTAGAAAGTCTCTGATTCAATTTCTCCCAACAGTGACCCCCCAGCTCCTGGGATGGGGGAGTAGAGGCAGAGAGCGGAGGTGTGGGGAGCTTGGTGCTTCTTGGCCTTTCAACCAATCTTCTGTTTCAACCTTTGGCCTCTAAGGCACTGGTCTCCCATCCCTGAGCCTCTCCGGGATGGGAGCACGGATGCTCCCAGCCTCCCCCATTCTTTCTTCCCATATTCTGCCCGCTTAGCTACTGTACCCCCAGGTACTGTCCTTCCTGCAGAAACTTGCTCTAGATGGCTGTTTCTATTTTTTATTATTTTACCAGCACTTGAGAGAGGCTTCAGGAGCGAAAAGAAATAGACTTGAATTTCACCTGCCATGTTTAACAGGAAGTCTCTTCCGTGTGGTCTCCGTGACCTCTGAACCCTATTTCCCCCCTTGTCAGAGGCCCGGACTCACAGCCTTCAGCCACCCATAGCTACTAACTAGAATTCAGGAGCCTTTTGTTTTCATGGGATTTGTTACTTACTTTTTTTTACTTATGTTTCTCCTTTATTTAGGAAAGGGATACTCATTTGTGATGGTGATGTAAAATTCCTTTTTTCCTAATTTAAGTTTTAAAAGAGTCGATTCATGGAAAACTTCTCCATGGTACGTGGAGAGGTAACTGTTTTGACAGGGATGGGTTAATGCTTGAAATTTGGGAAATGCCATACTATTTATAAAAATCATCACAGGAGGGATTTCAGGTCTCCTCACTTTGTCCCTCATGATCTGAGGACTTCTTCGTGGGCAGCACCAGGCTTCCAGCAGGCTAGCTCCCTGGGCCACTTCTTGGTTCTATTTTCATTCCTCCAGTTTCCATACATTTGATTTTCTTTCAAGTTGCTACTCTTGCTATATCTGGACTCCTCTTGTCCTAGAAATAAAGCTGGACACTGTTTCCAAATATTTCTCTTAAGTTGCTATTTATAAAATAAGTATACAAACCCAATTCCTTTGTTAGGAGTGTTTCGTTTGGTTTGATTAATCACAGAGAAACCGTCAGGGTCTGTGTGATAAAAACACCCCTCCCCCACATCAGGGCCATGGCAGACGTAAAAGGCCTTGAAGGGCACCTTGGTGGTTGCCCTGGTTTCTCTGTGAGGTTGAATGGGGACAGCTCTACTTGCTTCCCTGGATTTCTTCTTGGATATTCTTCAGCCCTACTCAAGTTCTTGCCTTAGACTCTAAGGTTTAGGATAAATCTGGCCAAATCAGTTTACATTCATTGCTCGGGACGTCATTTAGACTTTATCTGAGGAGGTCCGGCTGGGGATCCCGGGGTAACCAATTTCTCTTGGTAACTATACCTCTCTTTAGATCAGCTCCCTGAGCTCTGCAATCCCCTGGAGAAGGAATGTACCCTTCCATCTGGTTCTTGGGGATCAAAGCATTGATACCTCTAAGCCTCTCCTGAAGGTGTCAGGAGTCCGACTTTCACAGCAATGTCACCTTCCCCTAACCTTCTCTCTGGCTGCATTTACTACCTCATCAGCAATCACCTCAAGGTGCCCCAGCACCCCTCAGAGCCTGCTTCCTGTCTGAGGCCACCTGGGGTTGGGGAGTCCTCTGCCAAGCAGAGATGGCCGCTAGGAGTCTAGGCATCCTGAGTTACCAGCCAGGCATCCTCCTCCAGAGTCACTGCTAATTCCTCCTCTGCCACAGGGAGAGGTGACAGAGATGACTGTCCTCTACAGTTCTGCACCCTTTTGCCAAAATACATTTTTATAAATCATGAGAATCAAAGCTATGATTTTTCAAAGAAACATTCCTTTGTGCTACTGTTGAACTTAGAAAATTCTATCTTGTCTAATTTAAAACACCTCAATTCCTTTAC